GAGGCGGTTCTGAGCGGGAGAGCGGATGCTTCCTCCTTTCCTCCAACTGTTCACGGGGAATCGGTGTGCCGGGGGCCCACGGACCAGGCCTCCTCTGCCCTGGGGCACCCCAAGCAGCCCCTCTGATCCACTGACAGCAGTGATGGATGGTGGGGGGGTGATAACGCTTCAGGGCGATCCCCCCACGCCTTCCCAAGGCCTTCTGTGGCCTCTACGGAGCCTCGGAGGGCACCTCCCGCTCCTCAAGGCAACAGGAAGTGCTACCCCTTTGTGCCATCTTTAGAAGCTAAGGGAGCACTACGGGCACTCTGCACGACATCCACAGCCACAACCAGCTGCCAGCAAGACTGGCCCTGCCTCACCCAGGGCCAGCTCGTCAACGGCAAGAGGCAGACCCACTGCGCACAACAGGGGTGTCAGGGGACCCCCATTGGGCCTCCATGCTGACCACTCTTCAAGAGCCAAGAGAGCAAGGCCTCGCGGGCAGAGGCACAGCATGGGGGAGGGCAGACAAGCGGCGCCAAGCCCGAGCAACTGTCCGTCCTTCTCTGGACCAACCGGGCAAAGATGCCTCCTGGAGGCTGATCGGAGAGCCGCACGTCAGAGGCAGGCCTGGCTCACAATCAGCTGTCTGCGGCCATCGAGTGGCTCACGATCCTTTCGTCTTGACCATCAGTGGGGAGAAACACCAAGGTGGGCTGTTCCAAACCTAACCCCGTTCTGCTTGCTTTGCCAGGGAGCTCCCAAGAGCTCACAAAATGCTGAAAATCAAAAGGGGACCCATTGACCACTGCCAGGAAAAGGGGGGCAGCCATCGTCCCTGCCTGTCACGCAACGCTAGGCCAGGAATGCAGGGGACTAGGGGTGAAGCGTTCCCCTGCAAGCTGCACCCTCTACAAATGCTGCTGCTAGCCTCATTTACGACATGCACACCGCCCCCCCTTCCCTCTCAGCATGTTGGTTTAGGGAAGGCAGACGCAAGCCGCGAGGACTTTCTCCCAGACTGGTGCGGGGCCCAGAGCCCAGCTAAGGCTGCCCCCCTCCCCCCACATGCCTGGCTCAGGCGGGGCTGCGAGAGGTTTCCCAAGCCAGCGCAGAGTCAGGGGGAAGGAAGGAGCCCTCGGTGGCCTGGAAGAAAGGCTGAATCAGCGGTGGAAGCAGAAGGCGGGGGGGACAGCAAGGACCCCGAGCACAGAACAAAAGGCCAAGGGGTGCAGGGTTCCCGCTGGCTTCTGGGATGAGTAAGACTTCCTGGACCTGGCCTCCCTTCCCAACGGGGCAGGGCCCGCACAGCAAACCCGTTGCGCTCATCACTGAACAGGAAAGCAGGCATGTCCCAAACCCCACACGCGCAACTTTTTCTGTATAACCACCTTTTGCTTTAACCCAGGATCCTCGGGCAAAGGGGACCTCTGTGATGGCGTGAAGGCCTTGCAAGAGCCCCCTCCTCTTTGGCGGGGCTGCCCAAGACAACGCCAATGGGACGCAGGCCACCAAACAAAAAGGCCGATCCGCGAAGGGCTGACATGGGTCAGACAAGCCATGCCGCTTTCAGTATCGCGCGTGGCGCATTTCACTAAAATATAAATAAAGGTCGGCCTGATCAGTAACAGTGCAGAAGTCCTCCCTCTTACTTAATAGTGCAGTTTTAAAGGGAAGGACGGGGAGAGATGGCACACGCAACCGGTTCATCCACTGCCTGGCACAGCTGACGGCGGCGAGGATTACATCCAAACTGTCAAAACAGCGGCCATGACGAGCCGCCGACGGGGCAGGGCACGGCCCTCATCGCCGTTTGGGGCGGCCTTGCCAGAGGCACCGGCTTTACCTCGCTTGACCTAAAGCGTTCCTATATCCTTCCCGGACAAAGTTCGGAATTAACAGCCAATTACTTTAAAAACAAGGCCATACTATAAAGACCTCCGCAACAGAGCCGCAGCGCAAAGCGGAGAGGCTGATTGGGGGCGGCGGCGCCGGCGGCCAGCGCCGGAGAGGAGCAGCGGGAAGAGCCCCGCCGGGCACGCGGCTG